AAAAGCGAATGCGGCTAAATTAGTGGCTACGGGTGGTTTTTTTTCCTTGGAAGAGGCTTGGGCGGACGTGGTGTCGTGGACGGGACGGAGCGGAGCAAAACCAGCGCACGTGGTTTCCCTTTGCATTACGTGCTCCGCACACTCTGCGCCGAGGCAAACCTGCGCCGGTCGCTCATCCCGCCCAGTTGTTCGGCCTCGGTTCACAGCGGCGAAGCTGCGGCAGAGCAAGGGCGCGGGACGCACGCCAGCGCCCAGCAATTCCCGCCGTGAAAAAGCCCGGTTTGAAACCTAAAAGAAATTGAAACCAGGCTCCTTCTCGGCCCCGTTTCGCAGCCGGGCACAATGAGGTGCTTTTTCTTCCCTCCCTCCAGGGGACAATTAAAGCCCTGTTTCCCTAGGGGTGTTTCTACCTGCCGGCAGGTTTCCTTCCCGGGCGCTCCAGTCCCGCAGAGCGGACGGCGTTATTTTTACTCGGCGACGACTGGCTGTCGTCGTTGCTGTGGTCCCGCTAATCTCGAGGTCGGGGGAGACCGCAGGTGGGGTTTTCTGACAGTTGTCGGCGGTGTTTAAATAAAACCCTTCGGGGCGGACGAGGAATCTGCTCGGGGAGCGGGCAGGAGCCCGTATGGGCTCACGGGGGATTTCGCTTTTTTTCCGGCCCGTCTCCCGACGGACGAGCCCTTGCTTGGGCCCTTCGCCAGCCCGGAGGGCTTTCGGACAAGCGCCTTGGGGATCACCCTGAAAACGCGCTGCAAAGCCAGGCGAGGAGCAGCTGAAAGGCGCTGAGGCGACGGGCAGCTGAGCCCCGGCGAGCATCTGGGCTGGGGGCAGGAGCGCGGCGCTACCGCCCCGGTCGGGCACAGAGGTTTTACCGCTTGAGACTGTTAACGCGAGGAGCCTGCCTGAAGCTCCCGGGCTGAACCCGCTGCCTTCCTCCCCGCCGCGCCTGGGGTCAGGGCGCTCAGCAGAGCTGTTTGGGTGCCCTTTGAGCCCCTGCAGCACGGAGCGGTGGAGAGGGGACAGGCTTTGCCTGAGGGAAGGAGGCTTTATTTGCCAGTTTGGTTAAGCCGCTCTCGCTGTTGATCAGCAGGAGGGGCGGCGAGGGTCTTCTGCCTGGTCCCGCGCGGGCGAGAGGGGAGCAGCGTGCCCCTGGGGGCCGGGCACGGCTCTGAGGGCCTGCTGTCATTTCCAGGCCGAGCAGCCGTGCTGTGAAGGCTGGTGATGAAACGCGGGCGTTGTGCTTTGGGTTCCCAGCTTGCCGGACCCTCCAGTGGGGCTGGAAGTGTCAGCACCAACGAGCCAACAGCCAGCGAGCAATAAAATAGCGCGGAAAAAATAAAAGAGGACGGAGGAGAGGAGAGGGAGCTGCCGAGGGGACAGCAAAGGAGTCGAGCAGGACTGAGGAAGTGAGGAGCAGGACGGCCTCCCGTCTGGCCAAAGGTGGGGGACAGCAGGGAGTTAGGGGGGTTACAGGCAGGGGAAGCCAAAGGGTGGCCGAGGGTCTGGCGCAGCACCCGTGGCAGTGGGAACTGCAACGGAGGAGCGCCGTCGCTGAGGTTTGCGGTGGCTGAACGCGGCCTGGTTTTCCAAGTGTGCTTCAGGAAGAAAGCGGAGCAGTAGGGCTGCCGCCAGGCCGTCTCCATCACTTTGTTGTCAGGCACAGGCTCGCAGCCGGGATAGAAGAAGCCCGCCAGGCTCAGGCGGCCGGACACTGCTCCGGCTGGGGTTTGAAGGCTGTGGAGGACTGTGAAAGGCTGGAAAGGAGTCAGCGTGGGGCTGGTGCTGCTCCTCTGAGGAGAGGACCTGGGAACCCCCATATCTCCCTCCAGAGCTGATGGTGGGAAAGATGACTTCTCCGCTCTGCAGTGTCGGATGGCCTCATGGTCTGTGTCCCGGCCTCTGCTGGAGTTACAGGGACTATGTGCCAACCATACTGCTCCTTTTGCCTCTTGGATGAGGAAAGAGCACCTATATGTCCGTGTAGGTATGAATCTGAATGTCTTCACTTGCCCAGGTGCCCGGAAAGCTCCAGTACCAGGAGATGCATCCACCACGGCCAAGGGAAAGACCTGTCCCCCTCAGCACAAGGAGCGCTGCACCCGTACCACCACCCCGCAGCAAGGG